TCCCCTTTCCCTAACAAGTTATACCGAGATGTCTCTTCCCCAGAACCCCGATCGCGACGGCGACGTCCCTATGGACGGAGCAACCGCTCCCCAAAGTACGGGACGCGCCCGTAACGCTCCGTCAATGAATGTTGACGTGCTTACCGCACTTCTCAGTGCTGATCCGGCCACGAGAGACCTCACTGGAGACGCTCGTACGATGGCACTTATTAACATATGTGCCAACCGACTCGAGTCTTCCCTACGTGCCTTCGGCCAGTCAACAGTGTTTACCAAGATGGACTTAACCTCAGGATTCTGGCAAGTACGTATTAACAATGAAGACGTCCCGAAAACCGCTTTCAACACGGTCTACGGCAAATACGAGTTTAAGGTAATGCCGTTCGGTCTGTCAAGCGCACCTGCCACATTCCAAAAGATGATGAACAGAGTCCTTCAACCTCTATTACACAAATCCGTGGTTGTGTACTTGGACGATATCATTATCTTTTCCGAAACCATGGAAGAACATGTGAGAGTGCTGTCAAAAGTACTTGTCTTACTCCGCGAATATCGTTTGCTTGCCAATCCGGAGAAATTTAGCTTCGGCCAGGCTGAAGTTGACTTCTGCGGACACCACGTCTCGCAAGGACAACTTCGTCCTATGAAAGATAAGTTTCAGGCTATCCGTGAATGGCCGGAACCCACGAACGTTAGCGAAGTTCGACAGTTCCTTGGCCTAGCAAACTACTACCGAAGGTACATTAGGGGATTTACAAGCATCGCAGCACCTTTGACAGACCTTCTCAAAGAAGCAGACCCGCTCATCCGAAAGCAGAAGTACAGGCCCATCAGATGGACGCTGTCAACAGCGTTTGCCTTCAAAACCCTTAAGAATGCCCTATGTTCCGAGCCAGTCCTTGCTCAGCCAGATGAAACGAAACCCTTCTGCATTGAAACGGACGCAAGCAACTACGCGATCGGCATGGTGATCTGCCAAGAAGATGCCGACAAGCAGAACCAGCCAATCGCGTTTGACGGGAGAAATCTCAATGGCGCCGAGCTCAACTACCCAGTACACGAAAAAGAACTTCTTGCTATCAAACACGCCCTACGAACTTGGGGATACTTGCTAGTAACGAAGAAGACCACGATCCTCACCGATCACCACAGCCTACAGTTCCTTAAGACCGCCAAGGACAAGGAGGCCGAGTATCCAAGGCAGTAGTACCTAACGCGATCAGTAGGAAGCCAGACTTTCAAGGCGAGATCTCCGCAATGCCGTCAACTAAGGTTGACGAACTTCCTTGCGAGGGTTAAGGGCACCCCTAATCGGATTATCTTCATGCGAAACTGCACCCAATGCAAGGACGAGCATGATGATTGCATTTGGTATGGTCCTTTTTGCCTTTAGAGGCTGAACATGGCTTCGTGCAGGCCGTGCGTAGATCGGGACGGCTGTGGGCTTGCCCTCGTCAACATCCGTTCTCTGTCTTTTCTTCGGTCGACGATGGTCTAAGGGGTTCTCGGGAACAGGGAGTGGAGATTTTGTACTGGCCAGAGGGTTCATTCTGTCGATGAATACGTCCACTTGTTTCTTCAGCCGCCCTAAGAGGGGAACGAGGTTGGGGCGTGCATTGAGACTGCGCGGTGCAGGTGTTCGGAATGTATGACACCTCATCATCCCTTAGGAGATAGACAGGGGCGCAACGTGTGCACTGTGCAGCGTCTTGAGCGCCCTTCCACATTACGGCTATTTTTAGTACCAGGAAGAAACATGGGCCGGACCACAACCAGTGCAGTGTATTTATGTCTGCTATCATTATGAGACACGAACGATCCTGTGAACAACAGTATCGCCCTGAAAGATGCTGCGGAAAGCAACAGACATCGAGCGCATCGTCTCCGAGATAGACTCCTGTCGAGAACAGCTGCATACGACGACCTTAGAGAGGCTGGTAGAGGAAAACATGAACTTGGCGCAGCAGATCCGCATGTATCGTACGTATTGCGACTCGATCCAGCGAGCATCAGACATTGCAGTAGCTAGCATGGAACGATTGCAGAACGCTCACAGCTACTGCGGAGAACGGACTCGAATTCCTCGGCGTGAATCCATTAGATTTAGCTGGATATAAATAAAAATCCATGTTACTGCCTGCCTTTAGTAAGTGCTAAAATGGAGAAGCAGCTTAACCAGACAGGGGACTAACCAAGGCGAGAAAAGAATACATGTGGTGTCAGATCGTTGTTAGCAGGCATGATCATGGGAAGTGAGCATTCTTTCCATGCCAATGGACTCAACTTTTTATTAGACTGCCAAATATTACTAAAAGATTGACTAAAAGATAATCCCTTACGGAATTAAACTTGTAGCATAGAAAATTTACCTTAAAAGTATCGAAACTCATATGCTGAGCCATGCCCTTACTGAGCCATGCCCTTACTGAGCCATGCCCTTACTGAGCCATGATCTTACCGAGGCGTAGTCTTAGTTTACTAAAAATAGCCAACGAAGCAGTCTCTATCCAGCCTGGTCGGTCTATGTCGAATCCTCACTTTCGGTTGGAATGATACTACTTTTAGATTGCGCGATTGTATCTAAGCAATCGTCGTGCTGAGCTTTGAAGTAGGTTGAACATATAACCACACTCTTCTCGATACCAGTCCGCAAGCATTTGTCCTGTCGTCTGGATCTCCCCAACAACTCCTTCTCGTCGTGGGAGTAAGTGGAGAAGTTGTTTCGAGAGTCTTCGGTCCCACATATTTGGTCGTCACAGGCCTGCCGACCACGACAGCTGCGAATCGCTCCTAGAGCCACCAACATTTGAGACTGCGAGCATCGCCCGCCAATGCAACAGAGCTCTCAAGGTAGACACCCGGATCAATCGCAAGGCTGTGGCAGATCAAGACGAAGAACACGGCATGGGCAGACACTATCGAATATGAGGAGAGCTTCAAAAGTGAGGTCACTCTGACCGCCTTGCACTCTTTCACGCTGCGATAAGAACGGGTAGCATCAGTATGGTGTAGACAGCGTACATTTTGCTCACACAGGTATCCTGTTCGAGCTAACACACATTCTTTTGAAGCTTGACATTAGAGGCCGAGTTATACACGTGTGACTTGTCGATACATGATACTATTCCTCATCGTATGCTCAGGAGCCTCCATACTTGGACACACGTCATAATGACTGTGTTCTTCAGAGGTCTGTCTCTTGATGGAAGAGAGCGAGCCTATTGTCCTGGCGTTTTCGCTGGGCCACTTGGCCTCGCGGGTGATTCTGCAAGAGCTTTTGCGTGACATACGATCCGCGTAATGAACCGGTCTTGGCACATTGAATGAATAGCACACCCTGGACGTACATTTGCCACAACGAGGATAGCTCTACAAAAATCCACCAAGTGTGAGCGACGTAGGTCGAGAAGTAGGTTTTGACCTAAGGCGTGGCGGCTCCGGCAAAAACGACTTGGCCATTTTTGCTATAGCCCGACTCTTCCTCCTAATCATAACCTTCTCGTCGCTAAGTCGAGGTGGGGTTGCAAAGCTGGCTCTCGCGAGCTTGGTGCCGGCGCTGGCTGTCTCCAGGTCTTCCAGGAGGACATTTCTTGCAGTTGGGCGCAGAAGCTAGATATGTTGCATTAGTCGACTCTATTAGATTAAGAACGCTCAAACACGACTTACCAAGGTCTCTAAGTCTGCCGGAGGAAAGTCTCTCCGCGAGCGGTAGCTATAGAGCTCTTTAGTGGTTGGGTTCATCACGAACAGCGCTACGTCGCTACCAAGTTTGGCATACGCGTGGATCTTGCATCTGTTACCCGGCTCGAAGTGGGCAGCGTTCGCTTTTTAGTCCAAGGGGACGTCTAAATATATCGACTGCGGTCCTAATATCGGCCTGTAAGGTACTGCGTCGCTCCCCGCCCCGCTCTGCGCAATCCACGCCCGCTCTAATAATAGTACAGATATGTACAGCCCAACGTTACTCGTCCTTATAAGATTGATAGAAGCAACACCGACAACTTCCTGTAGGATGTTCTAACATGTCGCAAGATGTCTCAATACTGTTCGGCCCGCTCTTTCTATGTTCTGTGTTCGATTGCATGGTATATTCTTCTCTATTTCTCTTACTGCTTATCCAGTGTGGAATGGCTCTCATCCTTCGATTCCGACACGCAGCGACCAGTCAGCTGAAAATCGTGCAGCCAATGCTCAATATGTTACTTGCAGCTATCTGCATGACCTGCAGCGGGCTCAGCACACTTTTTAGCTATCTTATACTTGATGAGCCTGAGTACTCTCAGATGATATGGTACCTGAGCCTAGCACACCTCACCGTCAGTACCTTGAGACAGGTAAAGCTCTATGCGCAGACAAGTGGCGACAAAGCTAACATAGGCATAGTCTCTTACCACCAACGGCAACAAAGGACAGCTATCCATTCCTCGTATCCTACCATATGCTGTCGCAAGCAGCCGGCTTTTAGTCCTTATCACGCTATGTGCCTAGTTAGTACGTCTGTGGACCATATAAAACTCTGCTTATGGTTCTTAGCAAGGTAGAAATGCCTTCGGAGGGTGCATTTTCCTTCATCTGCACTGTGACAGCAGAGATGGGTATGATGTGTATCATTTCTGGCACACTGCTGGAACTTGTCTATGCAAACGTCATTGTTGTCCTCGCATCCCTACTGATGCTCAGTCAGCACCGGAGAGACTCGCTCTTGATCCTTATTTGGTTCTCAAGTAATGCGAGCTCCATTCGTACGGTTCTTCGAGCACTATCTATACTGCCAGCAACACTAGTCTTCCCAATTCTTCAATGGAGGACAAGTTCAAGTGCGGGGTCAAAACACATATCTAGAAGGCAGGATGAAGTTTAACGTCCCTCCCTACGTCGCGAGATTCCCTGTGTACCGAGATGCAGAATTTCAACACCAGATAATAAATTCCACAACGTCAGCCTGAGCATGATACTCTCGGGATAGATAGCTAACGGTCTAAGCTATACCCACGCTTAATCTTATCTGCGTGAACCTTCTGCGTAGCCTATAATCTCTGAATTAAGGAATCGTTGCTACCGACGGCTTGCTTTGGGAGACCGATAACATCCACTATATCTAAGCAGTGTACTTAGAATTACAATGCACAGTAGATTGGCGTATGAACAGTCTATCCCGAGAGCTGCAGTCCAAGATCTGTCTTCGCGGTGCTCAAATCCTAATTCAAAGCCAGAGCCTACGAATTTCTTGAGTTGAGCTTCTCAGGGTCTAATATACCGTTTTAGACAGCGCAAGCCTTATCGGAGAATCTGCGGGCTGCGCAAATCTAGCCCCTGCGTCTTGGCTACAGTAGGCGATCAACGGTCTCACTTTCCCTGCAGTAGATTCAGCGCAGGGCCCACTAGCCTAAATCGACGTCCAAAGTGCTCTGTCATGTGACCATCTCTGCTACCTCATGTGGGATTCATATTAGATAATCCCCATTACTCAAATCTTACTCAGCGTAGGCTAGGTATATATAGTAGATAAGTAGACTAGATAGAACGGGCAATCAAGTTTACCACGTAAAATCTACCTAAATTCCTACATCTGGTAGCTGAAAGCTGGTTTTTGTCCTCCTAGGGAGGCCGTCGCCTCGGCGACCCCTCCTAAGGGGTAGCTATATCTCCCCTTACACGAGGCAACTCGTCAAACGCAATTGACACCCACGACATTAAACACCTCCGCCGAAGACAACGGCAAAGGAACCTATAGTCCAACAGGAAAAACACTACCACGAAGGGACATGCCATAGTCCCGGAAAAACAAATTACGGCAACAACGTTTGACGACAATTCCAACAACTCAGCGGATACAGGCGCGCCATAAGAACGAGTCATGCCTACGATGGGATATCCCTGCCGAAACATCAACTATTCAGAGAATCAAATTACGGCAACAAACTTTGACGACCAGTTCAATAGTCACAACGGGTAGTGACATATCACAAAACGAGCAAAGACTAAGGAAACGAATTTTTTTTCATTGACGCTCCCTGTACCCGCAATGTACCTCCCAACCACTCGTCAACATAAGTTGACGACCAAATTCCAACTCGGAAGATGATCACCACCTCAGAATTCCCCTGTCTCTAACAAGTTGTACCAAAATGTCTCTTCCCCAGAACCCTGATCGTGACGGCGACGTCCCCATGGATGGAGCAACCGCTCCCCAGAGCACAGGACGCGCTCGTAACGCACCGTCAATAACCGTTGACGTGCTTAACGCCCTCTTCGATGCCGATCCGGCCACGAGAGACCTCACTGGAGACGCTCGTACAGTGGCACTTATCAACATATGTGCCAACCGACTCGAGTCACAGGTGAGGAACGATCACGTCACCCGGGAGGAACTGGCAAGAGACTTTGACAACCTCCTCCTCAATAACCCCGGCCGCTCAGGAACGGTTGCGCCCCCACGCAGAGGCCGCATCCCTCTTCGAGCCCCCGAAGTATACTCAGGAGAAATCAGGGACGACGCCTGCGAGGAATGGTGCCTATCTATCCAGGAATGGATTAATACCGTAGAGTCAGTGGAACGCCAAGAGGCTATACCTGATTTTGAGAAACTACAAATCTGCGGGACATATACCTCAAAACATGTCCGTACCCTTTGGCGTAGCCTCATGGAGGCACGCGGCCGTAATAGCCCGGGTAGTCCTCAAACTCTAGGAGACTTCCTAGACGTCATACGCAAGACGTACATCTCGACCAATCGCCCAGAACAACGCCGAAAGGAATGGGAGAACCTAAGTCAACATCGTTATGGGTCTGCCTCGAGGCTCATCGACGTCATTGTCGAGAAAGCTCGACTACTACGACCCATGCCTACAGAATACGAGATACAACGCAGGATACTAAGTGCCCTCAAATCAGAGGTTCAACGAGAAATCGAAAAGCAGCCCTTTCCTCCTCAGATGCTAGGGGACTGGTGCCCATGGGTAAAAAGGCTAGAAGAAGCCCTATACACCCACTCCAAGAGCGAATACCACAGACGGGAAGCTAATCATCGCCTTAATGCCATGTATAATCCAGACGAGGACGAAGAACCCGAAGAGTTCGAGCCTCCTGAGGATTTATACACCCGCGATGATGACCTAGGCGACTTCTCTGGAGACGAAGGCAAGCTCCACGCCTTCGTAAAGCGCCAGTGGAACAGCCGAGGCCGCGGCAGAGGCTGGAGTCGAGGCCGAGGCCGTGGTAGATACCAAGGAAATTCGTCAAGAACGCTTAACGAGACTCGAGAATGCTTTATCTGCAAGAAAACAGGACACATCTCAAGATTCTGCCCCGAAAATCCGACTCCAAGCAAACTGGCCCACGTCACCGCAGAGGGAGACACGGCAAGCGTCTTTGACGAAGAGCCCCCAAAAGCCAGTCGCCCGTAGTGGACACAGAACACACCACGAGCGACGAAGAGAGCTTCTGCACTGACAATTCCGATGAAAAGGAGGTAAACACATGGGACTACGAGCACATTAACGCGCTTTGCGAATCGCTAGAGAGTGCTCGCCAGTGTCAAGAGGAGTTGACGCACGCCGTCGACGACCGCCTCTGTCAACTAAACTCCATCGGCAGACAGTTGCTAGAACTCAAAGCTTACGCAGGAGAAGTCCACCCTCAGAAGGTTTCAGTACTCATCGACTGTGGGGCTGATAGAACGTATATGTCAACGAAGGTTGCCAGGCGTCTGAAGCTGGTGCCACAACCTGCTCCCGCAATACGTGTCAAACTTCCGTCAGGACCCCTCATGACAAGTCGAGAAGTTGTGAAGATCCCCCTACGCATGGAAAGCTTCACTTGCGAAGTCTCCGCGAGAGTGCTCGACCTCAAAGGCTACGATCTGATTCTAGGATACGAATGGCTCTACGAATGGGACCCCGATATCTCATGGAGGTCTCATTCCCTAGTAATTAAGAAGCCAGCAGCCCGAGGACGAACCAAGGAGTACCTTCTAAAAGGGATTCCTGCGTCAATCGACATTGACTTACAAGGAGAACAAGTGCTAAACGTCCTCACTGCTAGTCAAGCACGGAAACAATACCCGAACGGCTGTGAACAGGGTGTAATGTGGTTCGTTAGAAAGGACACTCCTCCTGTACCGCATGCACCTGACCCAATACTGCAACCCGTTTTGACGAAGTATAAGGACGTTTTCAAGGAAGACCTGCCCGAAGGGCTACCTCCTTCAAGACAATGGGACCACAAAATAGACACAGGAGATGGCCGACCTATCAACAACGCAGCCTATCGTCTCTCCTTAGAACAGATCGCAGAACAACAGAGACAGATACAGGAGCTAATCAAGCGAGGCCTGATTCAAGAATCAGGAAGTGCCTGGGGCAGCCCAGTACTTTTCGTGCCCAAGCCCGGAGGCAAATGGCGAATGTGTATCGATTATAGGGCACTCAACACACTCACGCGTAAAGATACGACACCTCTCCCACGCATTGATGAGTGCCTACGTGCCTTCGGCCAGTCAACCGTGTTTACCAAGATGGATTTGACCTCAGGATTCTGGCAAGTACGTGTTGACAATGAAGACGTCCCGAAAACCGCCTTCAACACGATCTACGGCAAATACGAGTTCAAGGTAATGCCGTTCGGTCTGTCAAACGCACCTGCCACATTCCAAAAGATGATGAACAGAGTCCTTCAACCTCTATTACACAAATCCGTGGTTGTATACTTGGACGATATCATTATCTTTTCCGAAACCATGGAGGAACACGCAAGAGTGCTGTCAAAAGTACTTGCCTTACTCCGCGAATATCGCCTGCTCGCCAATCCGGAGAAGTGTAGCTTCGGCCAGGCCGAAGTTGACTTCTGCGGACACCACGTCTCGCGAGGACAACTCCGTCCTATGAAGGATAAGATTCAGGCCATCCGCGAATGGCCGGAACCTACGAACGTTAGCGAAGTTCGACAGTTCTTGGGCCTAGCGAACTACTACCGAAGGTACATTAGGGGATTTACAAGCATCGCGGCACCTTTGACAGACCTTCTTAAAGAAGCAGACCCGCTCATTCGAAAGCAGAAGTATAGGCCCATTAGATGGACACTGTCAACAGCGTTTGCCTTCAAAACGCTTAAGAATGCCCTATGTTCCGAGCCAGTCCTGGCTCAGCCAGATGAAACAAAGCCCTTCTGCATCGAAACGGATGCGAGCAACTACGCGATCGGTATGGTGATCTGCCAGGAAGACGCCGACAAGCAGAATCAGCCAATCGCGTTTGACGGGAGGAAGCTCAACGGCGCCGAGCTCAACTACCCAGTGCACGAAAAAGAACTTCTTGCCATCAAACACGCCCTACGCACTTGGGGATACTTGCTAGGAACGAAGAAGACCACGATCCTCACCGACCACCATAGCCTACAGTTCCTCAAGACTGCCAAGGAACAAGGAGGCCGTGTAGGTAGATGGATTGATGAGTTCGGAAGCTTCGATCTAGACATAAAATATCGCCCAGGATCCAGGGCAGTGGTACCTGACGCCATCAGTAGGAGGCCGGACTTTCAAGGCGAGATCTCCGCAATGCCGTCAACTAAGGTTGACGAACACACTCTCGTCGCCCAAATCATTGAGTTCCTTAAAGGAGCGGAACCGACAGAGCATGTGCTAAAAGTCTCCCCCGAAATCCTGTCCCGGCTACGCCTGGACCACGAAGGTAAACTACGACACAAGCTATGGGATTTTGATGATAGTCAAGAAGATTTGTCGGAAAACTCAGCGCCGTACATCCCCGAACAATACCGTACTTCGCTGGTAGAAACAATACACCGTCAATTCGGTCACTTCATGTGGCCCGGACTACTAGGAGCCCTAGAAAAACAAGGCTGGTGG